TTACTCAAGTCCCTTGGGTTTTGGGAATTCCATCAGGGCAGAACTTTTAGCTGTTGTACAAGGGGTGCAATTTGCAAACCAGCTGAGGGTACAACAACTAATAATCGAGGGGGACTCCAAAGTGGTGGTGGGTTGGTTGAAAAATTCTGAAGAGGCTATGTGGCGATACAARAATGAAATGAAGAAATTCAGTTGGTTGACAAGGAATATGTTGGTCACTGTACAGTGGGTAGCAAATACTTTGTCAGATATGTTAGCTAAGCAAGGGGTAAATAGGGAAGAATTATTTTGGGCTTAGTTGTGATTATTGTTTTTCTTTCCTAGTTTACTTGTAAGATTCAAGGAGGGGCTGAAGCTCGCGCCTCTCGCTGGGGTGATGTATGAATTCACTCTAAATTTGCTTCTGAATCAATAAATTTATTATTATTCATCAAAAAAGGGGTACCCCCTGTTTATCTAAAACACACACTCAAATCTCCAACCCTGTGAAAAATTAAGCTCCTCTCAAAAAAAAAAGAAAATAGTGTGGTTGATGCATCCAGTTACCAAAGCAAATGCTACTATGAAACATATTCATTGATAACAAAGACTGACTTGCAGCTCCTCAGAGCATTTGGATTTTGGAGGTGGTGGAAGAAACTTGTCCAACGGATCAACTTCTTTCTGTACTTCTACAGAAACCCTAACAGCTTCCTCAACTGATGCAGCTTCAATCTCCATTATAGTAGGATTCATTGTGCCACTATCATCTGACTGTAATGTTTCTGGCTGTTCTGATGTTTGGGGGAGAGCTGTTTGAATGTGTTAAAATTTGAACTGCTCCTGGAGGTGATTTGATTTGAATTGCTCTAGAAGGTGATTTTTCCTGGAAGTTACCTGTAAATGCAAATAAAAATTGAAAACGAAAGAAAATGGGGAAAAAACAAGAGATCTCTAAATAAGTTCATTCAAAAGATTCGTCTAGACATCAAAGGTTTCATAAACGTTGAAGTCACTTCCAAGAAGATGAACCAAAGATTCATCATCGAAAATATGGGGGTAATAGTGTTAAACTTCAAAAACTATTGACCCCAAACTAATCATTTCTAGTACCTTGGATCAATCATCCATGATGAGGGAGAAAATAAAGAGGATGTTGCCCAGAGGTGATTCAGACCAAAAGGAAGTTTTATAAGACACTTATAAGACCGGCATTGCTATTTCAGACATAGTGCAATGTAGTGAAGAAACAATGTCTTCAAAAATTGAGTGTGGCTGAGATGAGGATGTTAAGATGGATGAGTGGGTGGCAAGACTAGAAAAGACAAAATCAGAAACAAATGCACCAGAGGATTTAGGAGTAGCTCCAATTAGTGACTAGATGAGGGAGAGTCAACTGAGATGGTTTATCCATGTGCACAAACACCAACGAAAGCACCAAATGAAGAGTGGCTTGGTGCAAGTACGAGATTAAACCCTCTTATGGCCATTTGTAGAACAATCTTGACTACATCAATATGTAGATATCCTTATTCTGGAACTTGGTGGTGTAAAGTTTGCTTCTTGAGTTCGGTCTTGCTGCAGCAACAATGCAGTCTATGAACTATGATACATCAGGGCAATCAAAACACAGCCATGTACCCATTTCTGAGAGAATATTAAGCTTCACATCATAAAAGCACAGAAATATTGGAAACTAACTAAATTAACCATAACTTCATCATTTAACTCAGTTCATATTTGTGAGAAACTGAGAATCTCTCTTTTATTTGTTTCTGAATGATGAGCTGCATCCAGTCTGCTTTTAACAGATGAAGATAACTTGCCTTTAAGACTTTAATACAGAGTTTCTCTAAGGAAGAAATCAAATCTACTATTTTGGGGCTTGCTCTGACAAGGTCCYTGGTTCTGATGGGTTCACAGGTGCTCTCTTCCATTCATCTTCCTAGACAAGTAAATCATGTTTATTGAACTCATGTATATAATTATAGTAGAACTGTATAATTGTATACAATTATAGTAGAACTTTGGTTAATAGGTTGAAACTCTTCTAGAGAAAAAATACTTCAGAGGAAAAATCGGCTTTTATTTAAGGAATGAATAATGTTTTGGGGGTGGTTCTAATGAGGCTATTCACTCTTTTAAGAAAAAAGAAAGGATAACTGAGATGGATGGCTTTGAAGGTTGACCTTCCTAGGGCATAGGGCCTATGCCAAAGTAAGGCACAGTTTTATCAAAAATGACGGGGGTGGTTCAATGGGTTAACCTAGTTATGGATGATTACAACTTCAACCTATCAAGTTTTGTTTGATGGATACTCTCTTCCCACTTTTAGGCTCTTTGTGCATGCATGTATTGGGGGTGTTGAGACACAGACTTTCCTTATCTTCATTATCACCATCAATCAAGCCTTATCCCAACTATATGGGGTCGGCTACATGAATCCTATTTTGCCGGTCCATTCTGTTTAATGACAATCCTATTTTCCTTATCTTCATATATTTTTATAATCACTGTTGAGGTGTTTGCAGCAACAATTAGAAAGTAATTGATGAACATTAAATCACTCCTGTAAGCACTAGTAGGAATTGCTCTAACATTTCCCCATATTTCTATAAAGATTTGTAGTTTCCTCCCATTTTTCAAAGCATGGTGTGTAAAAATTAAAGACTTTGTCAAATGAAACAAACCAACTTTCCAAAACACCCTTGCTTTTATTGGTACCAAAACCCCCTAAATTGGCCTCAAGGACTAATGTAAACAGGATATGGAGTGGCACCGTGTCCCTTTAGAAGTTCAGTTATTGTGCTTGGAGGATGTAATAGGGAGTGGTAGAGACAGGGTTATCTCAGTATCTTACCAGTGAAAAAAGGGTTATGTCAGTATCTTCTGCTTCTCCTATTTAGTAATTATAAATTTCTCCTTCTAGCAAAAAGAAAAAGAAAACTAAGCTACAAAGGAAAAGAAAACCTACTCCTAGCTCATAATTTAATAAAACTTCTGTTACTAATCCAAAGAAAAGGGTGGGGTAACACAACACTTAAATTGAAAGGATATTGGAATTTGGGAATATAACAGAACAAGTTGTCATAGGAAACAAGCTATGTGTCCAAATAGTTTTTAAGGTGCCAAGGCAAGGCTAGGCGACAGGGTGCGCCTTGTCCCCTAGTCGCCTAGGCGATGGATTTTTTTTAAGTAAAACCATATATAGTTCCCTAAGTTCTATAACCATCTTTTCTTAATAATTATCCATAATTTTCATAAGAGAAGTATAAATTTCATGTTTTGAGTTTAGAAAATCAACATTTTATGAGAAGAAAAGGAACAAAGGAAAGAAAATTCAAAAAATATGGGGGCTGAACCCCTATATTTTCTTAAAAATATAAAAGCATTTTATAACATAGTGCACAAAACTTGGCGACTGGGCGAGGCAAGACTCCAAGGGCGCCTTGTCACCTAGGCGTCGCCTTGACAACTATTTTGTTACATACTATTTACAGTTTGAAGCTCTAGCGCTAACGTGACACGACCAGAACTCACTATTTCTCCTTCCTGCAATTTGAAAACAAAGATGCAATGACAAATCTTTCCATCATATGAACATTAAAGAGAGACAAGGCAAAATCTCGGGGACTAAGTTCACTGTTCACCAGCGCTACTCTACAAATTAAATTTCTCAACGATCTGTGGTTATAAATATTGAGGAACCAAATACCTCAGCTTCGGGAGACATAGTGGTTTCGTCTTGCATGTAATCGACGATTGCCAAAGACCCTTTTTTCATTCCCTGACCATCCGAAAGATTGGCATGCTGTGGAGGTAGAACCTGCTGCAACGGTGAGGGTGGAAGTGACGTTTGGGGCTGCTGCGGCGTCCATGCTGCAGCCCTATCGCTTTGGGGTCGAATTATCGTTGGGAAGGGAAGCTTCATACTGAGGAGTAGCAGCGGCTTCAGGGGCAGATGCAGAAACAACCGCGTCTTCTTTGTTTTCTACATCCTCTCCTTCTTCTTCTTCGTCGAGATCCTCCATGTCCTCATCTTCGTCATTGTACATGGACAATAGAGCGATACCTTCGGACGCCTTCTTCTTGGAAGCCATGGAAACCATGAAGGAAACTTTGGAGTTGTCCTCTGCTAACGCTTGTCTGAGAAGACGAAGGTTGAAGATGGAAAGAAGCGCCCTGGACCGGCCGTTCGAGGACGACACGATGGAAGGGAAAACGAGAAAACTCGCTTTCCTTCTTTTTCTGGGTAGTAGGTAGGGGTGACCATTTCAGCCCGGCCCAGGCCAGAAATTCCGGGCTTGGGCCTTGGTTTTGTGTTCAGGCCCGGGCTCATATCAGGCCCGCAATTTTAGGGCCGGGCTTGGGTTTAATATTTCAAGTCCGGCCCGGGCCCAGCCCAGTCTGCATATATTTAAATTTACACATTTTGTGTATAATGTATATATATATAAGTTATTTTACATTATATTATATATTTTATATATAAATATTATAGTATGATATGGATAATTTATATTATATGTAATATTTTATAATATATAATGTATAAAATAAGTTTATATGCATATTATGTCATTTAATATAAAATATTATAGATATGTAATGTTTTATATATATGAAAGACATTGGCTCAAAATCAGGCCCGATCCAACCCAAGTCCATATAGACCTGAGCTAAGGCTTATATTTCAGGCCCGGAACCCTGGGTCAGGCCGGGCCTGGGCCTAAGCTATARCCCTTATTATAAGCGTAAAGCCCGGCCCAGCCCATGATCACCCCTAATAGAAGGATCATTGAATTGTGTCATTTTGGTAGTTGTGGGCTTGTATTATGGGCCTAATCTAAGAAAGTGTCAAATAACCAAGTTGGCCAAACAAACCCAAACTTTATGATAAATTAATAATTAATAAATCTTCTCTCCATTGTTGTGAAAGCTTTTAAAATTTTCTAGAGTAAGAGGGGTAAGAGTGTAAATGAGATCTCTTCTTGCGTAGAGGGCAAAAGCCAAAAAGGTATTACCGTATTAGGGAGACGCTCCCCAAATGGTTGAAATTCTTCTTGCTCAGCTTGGCAAACATATTTGCATTTGCACTCTTCCCAAACTGAGCCTTGGGACTTCATATTGAATAGAAGTGTTGGTTTAGGCATATTTATTGTGAGGTGACAAGTGACAAGCACAAATAGAGATGCAATTATCTATCAAAAAAGAGAGAGACTTGCAACTTGGGTAAATCCAATTTGAGCCCACCCAACCTGCACCGGATGGGCCTGGATCAGCAAATTTAGGCTTAATCTAAACTTAGGTTGGACTTCAATTGAGGCCTTAAAGAGAGAGAGGGTCAGAGGGGGGAGCAAGTCCCCTAACATATAAGTGGACATTATTCTCGTGTTAGTGATACCCAAAAAGGCAATAATGCCCAAAAAGGCAATAGGTGACAATGTTTTAATTATCACCTATTAGGGACATTTTTGTCTTCTTGCACATTTGTACAGCCACATGGTTCTCAGCCTCTTCCCAGCTTTTTTTTCGGGCAGCTGAAACCGATATTGAGACCTCCCCTCACTTTTCAAATTGGACTAAAACCTATTCTTTTAAAATTATATATTTATATCTAACAAAATCCTCAAAAGGTCTATTTTACCCTGGTTAATTCTTTAAATTTTCAAAACAGTGGAATCCAATATCATGATTGTTGACTCCTTTGAGACTCGACTGTCTGAAACTGAAACTAAAGAGCTTGTTGACATGTTTGTTCCCATTGTTACCACGTCTTTCTACGATGAATTCAAGTATGCCACCAATGGTTGTGATATTAAGGCTCTATTTCGATTTGGAAGGAGTATAAATATAAATATGTAGAACGTAAAATCTTGTATTTTGTATTATTTTGCATGTATTTATACTATATATATCTATATTTGTACTCTTTCTAAATTGAGCCTAAACCTTTAATGGCAACCAACTCTCTCGAAGTTGTCGTCTTAGTAAACAATGAGGAGAGGTTGTAATGGCGTAGTATGTATTTGGTACTTTGGTATCACTAAGAAAATCCTATAGCATGCCTCGTGTTTGGTATTGTTGTCATGAGTAATCTTCTGTCATTATCTTTATGGGAAATGGTATAAGGGTGTATGGGGCGGAGGCTAGTCAAGACTCTCCCTGTTTTTGATTGGTATGCCCCTTGTGGGTATGGAAGATCTTAGGTTGAGTCATGGTTTTCAAAACTGGATTGTACTGGACGGTTGGACTGGAAAAATCGGGAACCAGTCAGGCGATCAGTTTTGTTTTTCCCCAAAAACGGATTTTTTTCCAAAAATCATTAATTTTGGTCAGTAAACCGCTGATTCGAGTAATTAACTGTTTTAACCATTCGAACGGTTTGACCATTTTTTATTTTTTTGTCATAATGGGCCAATCGTTCAATTTGAATGATTGGACCATTCAACCCGAGAATTGGACCCTTGACCAATTCGTTCTTTGGGTCGGTTTTAAAAACCTTGGGTTGAGCCATTGAGGGGAATCTCCATTAAATAATATATATGGAAACCTCTAACATATACTTCCATGTGTCTTAATTAAAAAATAAAAATAAAAATTTAAACGAGAGGGGCAAATTATTTGCTTCTACCAAAAATAGCTCCAGGAGGTTGGTTTTTATAGCAGGTGAAGAAGTAGTAAAATAGTAAAGGGAAAAATTGGGTTTCAAAAAATTTTAACCAATACATATCCTCATTTTCATAAGGTTCTGATGGAGAGGAGGTTTTTGTTTGATGACATCGCATTATAGGGGGTGTTAGTCCAATTTAAAAAGAAAAGGGATATTTCAGTATTTAAGGGAAACTTGATAGGCGGTTTAAATCTTTTACTCAAATAAATAAGGTTCCGTGGGCGTTTGTGGATAGGGTGTTTATTTGTATGTTTTTACTTTAAAACATTTATTTATACTTTTTCACTTTTAACGTTTTTGTTCTTGTTGTTTGGTTGAATTTTATTTTAAACGTTTTTATTCTTCATCTCATATTAATACTCATTAAAGTGTGTCATATCAGTAATTGGTTTCAAGAAACGATGGGACGTTGGGAAAACAAAAATTTGACGTTTCCCCAAATGCCCTATGCACAAAAATCAAAGCATTTCAGTTTTCTACCATTTATTTAATAAACGATAAAACCAAATAATTGTTTCATTTTGCTTCATCTGTTATAAACGCCAACGCCTATGTGGCACTGATGTGGCGGGGTTTTTTCAATAAGCGCCAGTGGTATATATATATATAGGCGGTGTGAAAATGCAAACATCACATGAATTATGATGAAGGAGAATTTGGCCCGACTTCATGACAGGGAGACACGTGGAAGTGACTCCGCATAAGCAACAACTCGACGTGATCAGATCGGCACGTGGACGTGACTCAACACGAATGACAGCTCAGCATAAATCAGCTCGCTACAAAGCGAGCTCGGATAAGTTGGTACCCCGAACTAAAGTTACTTCGAGCTAAGATCGTCTCGGTACCAGATCGCGACAAAACGAAACCAAGTTCGTTACAGATCGTACCCGGACCGATTGATCACCTCGGTCCAAGGGCACTTCAGCATTCGTGTCAGGGCAGACCTAAGGAGCACAAGCTCGAGGAGCTCGCTACCAGTCAGCTCGCCATCAAACAGCCCGATATCCTATAGGCGAATCGCCTACCGTTCAGACCTCCGAAATTGCAACCTCGAGGAGCACACCAGAGTACTATGTATCCTACCAGGCCGTACCTCGTAACGGTCACATTAGTTCACCAACTCCTCGGTTCTGACAGTAAGGGACAGTATTACCGTTTGACGGCGTGTGACAGTATTACTGTTTGACAGAATGGGACAGTATTACCGTTTGACGGCGTTTCACCCACCTAACACACAAGCAAGTCCCGTCACAGCTGGGATCTGGTAACTATTCCACCAACCCGCATGGACCCCAGTATATAAAGACTCCACCCCCCCAGGGGCGAGGKACGTTCGATTATTATTGTTGTGTGTGTAATCTTCACTCTCTAGCTCTCTCACTGTTATCGTCTTCAAGCTCTCTATTATCACTATGCTCTAACTTAGCCATCGGAGTATCCTCACCGGGTGAGCCACCCCGGGATCTCTGACTCATTTCTTTCAAGAACCCAGTTCTCATCGTTGTTGGCAGTCAGATCATATCCAGCAGGGAGCAGCCGGATTACGCCACATCAATTGGCGCCGTCTGAAGACAAGCTTATGCAGGCTGGCTTGAATCCTAGTAGGTCGCCTTGGGTTTTTTGCTTTTTTAACGTTCTGATGAGTTCGTGGCTAATCTTACTTTTCATTTTTGCAGCTACCATGCCGGTCAACGCAGAAAGCCTTTTGAGGAGCTCCCAAAAGGGAAGGAAGAGGACCGCGAAGAGATCACGCTAGGAGGCCGATCTCTCTCCTAAAGTTGTAATCGTGGAGCCAGTCTCCACTACGCCTCCCTAGGAAGAGGCTCGATCTGCTGCCCCCGAGGCGGTCATGGACAAGGTTCATCACAAGGGACCTCGCCCCCAAGAGCTAGAAAGTTCGTCTGCGCCCGTGGGAGCGGATATTGCACCAGAGGGTTATCTTCCGATCGTGAAAGAGAGCATCATGGACCACGTGCAGGCCATGCGCAAGAGCCTATAGGTCGCTTGATGTCCGCGCGTRAACCGCACGCGATCCATCTGATAGAGCACCTACACTTCGAGCCAAATCCACTTGGCGTATTGTGAACTCCTCGAACAAGGTCAAGACCCCTAGCTCGAGGAGTGGGGGCAATTGATGAAGGAGAATTTGGCCCAACCTTATGATAGGGAAACACGTGGAAGTGACCCCGCATAAGCGACAACTCGACGTAATCAGATCGGCACGTGGATGTAACTCAACACGAGTGACAACTCAGCATAAATCAGCTCGCTACAAAGCGAGCTCGGGTAAGGTGGTACCCCGAACTAAAGTCACTTCGAGCTAAGATCGTCTCGGTACCAGATCGCGACAAAACGAAACCAAGTTCATTACAGATCGTACCCAGATTGATGGATCACCTTGGTCCAAGGCACTTCGGCATTCGTATCAGGGCAAACCTAAGGAGCACAAGCTCGAGGAGCTCGCTACCAGTCAG